CCCCAAAACCCCAAAACCCCAAAACCCCAAAACCCCATAAGATTATTAATATTGAATCGTTTGAATTATTATTTTAACAAAATGAGTAAACTAAGTTCACTTATCGAGTCCAACACATTCAGCGTGAACACCTCTGAATGCAGTACCAGCGAAGGTATCAGTGCCTCCACAATGCCTATCCCCCAATTCATCTCTGGCCTCCGTCGCTTCAACACAAAGCAGCCTCTGGAGAATGGATCTGAAATTCCCAAAATCCTAAGCACTCCTTCCAAATGCTTGACTGGACCTCTTCCGAAACTGTTGTGCGAAGCTTCTCAGACCCAGCCGACCCAAGCCAGCAGCTGAGGCTCTCGAAGGCCTTCGGTAAACGCTGCAGATTGTCAAGAAAAGACATTGATTCATGGGTCTTCCTTTTGGGTCTGAACAGATACACAGACTGAAGATGACGAAAATAGAAACATAAGTCTGTCAGAGAGGAAACATTGAGTCTACAAGCCCTTGAGTGTCCAGCAAAAAGTATGTGAATAATGCTGAAGATAGTATTTTAAACCAAACTTTCCATTCTGAAATTTTCGAATGAAATTTCTAGTTCCTCTTTGATTCATCAACCGTAGCTTTGTATCCTGAGATATTGTATTCATGTAACCTCTAGAGAGCAGATGTATTTCAGGTGTCAAGGAATCCAAGTAAAATTGAAATACTCCTGAAAATGGATACGAGGCATTCGACTCCGGTGAAACATGCTTGGTGAGAAACAGAGAATCTAACTTCGTTTGAAGCTTTTGAAGAGTCTTGATGTCACCATCCAAGGCCATCAAACACTCCATTCAAATACTGAGAGGGTTTATGGCCTGCTGGCAAGCCTCTTGAAGTTAACCAGCAAGTTGAGATATCTGACCTTGACAAACAAATCTTCAATCTCAAGAAACAGGCTTGAGAGCTAGTAAATAAAATTGATCAATTAACCGATGAAAACTCTCAGCTCACTGATGAGTTCAACTCTTTATTATATAACAAACTTTAACTCGGACTCTTCGGTTCTGAAGTTGCAACCTGAATATGGAATTTCATTAGCTGTTGACTCGATAGTATAAGCGTTGCCAATTGTGTCTGTAACTTTAAAGTGTTTCACTTAACCTCTTCAAGGTTATCTTTGTTCATATCCTAAAATACACCTTAAAGCTGAAACCATTGGATCCCAATATCCGATTCTGAAACGCTTTATGTTCAAAATATTTTTCTGAATATTTCTTGAGGCGACATCATTCAGATATTTCAATCATTTTTATATCTATTGGGGTTTTGGGGTTTTGGGGTTTTGGGGTTTTGGGG